CGTTCTGGAGGCATCTGACTGCTTGCAGGGGCGGGCCAGGCCTACCTGTGCCTCTGCTGAGTCGCACTTGGATCTCAGCTGCTCCGGTTACCAGGCCGGCAGCTTCCCTATGCCACGCCGTTCCCTAAGTGGGGCGCACTGTTGTTGCGTTTTTACCCCTGTTGCTGTGGAAGGAGCATGCTGGATTGAGGGGTGGTTGACTTTTTCATTGACTGATCGGCTGTTGGAAAGTGTGTGCGATTGAAGAACTGTAGTTCCTGCGATGCTTGGAAGGGTTGTTGACTCCGGGCAGCATATGCTGCTACTGATTTTCACTGTGCTTGCCTCAAACAGGCCGAAATGGCAGCTTGGAGAGGACCAAGGGGCGGAAGGGGGCGGAGTACTCAGAGCTTTTGAGTCTGTAGTCCCTGGAAGTCCTTTGCGCTTTTGAGCATTGTTTTGTTCTATGCAAAATGAGCATCGGGAGCCTGCCTGTGACCTCCCTGGGGGTCAGAGAAAGATGACTTGTCTAGAGGCAGGGATATGAGGCCACTTTGTTGTTAGAGTTTGGGAAGAGGTTTTTTGGGGGGGTGGGGTTCAAACTAGTGTTTTAGATCATGACTGCTTCTCTCTGGGATTTCTGGGACCTGGGGAGCCATGGCCAATGTAAAGTGGAGATATGCTCCGTTGTTCTCTGACCGTTAGACCCCAGCCCCAACGAGAACTCTGAGCTAGCTGATAATCACATCAGCCACATAATGGAGTGGAGCTTTGTAGAATTCTGTCATTCCTGTCCAGCTTGACTCTGTCCCATTCCAGAAGGAAGACACCAGATAGAGGGGTGTAGCTGACCTTCATTAGGTTCCTCTAGGGGCAGAGAGGAGGGGTGAGATGATAGGGCCCTTGTGCTTGACACATCCTTTATCTGGGTGTGACCTTTGGCTCTCTGCAGTGTCAGCTCATTAGCAGCTGGCCGATCTAATCTGCAGTGCCTTCTCTTCATGCTCTATGGACAGAAAAGAAGGTGGCAGAAGAATCTCTGCTGGTCTGTATTCTTCACTGTAGAAGCCATAGGACGTTGGGGGACCAAACATCACAGTGCTGGCCTCTGTTGCTACCACTGGTGTGAGGGTGACCTAGGGGCATCACGGGGATGATGTCTCAGGGACGGGCCCTTTTTGGGGGAGAACTTGTGTGACAGGTTGCTAGGTCTAGAGGCAGCATGTGTGAGTTGTTCCTTCCTGTCCTGGAAGAATTCTTCACTGTAGAAGCCATAGGACGTTGGGGGACCAAACATCACAGTGCTGGCCTCTGTTGCTACCACTGGTGTAAGGGTGACCTAGGGGCATCACGGGGATGATGTCTCAGGGACGGGCCCTTGTTGGGGGAGAACTTGTGTGACAGGTGCTAGGTCTAGAGGCAGCATGTGTGAGTTGTTCCTTCCTGTCCTGGAAGAAACTATGTAAGTGGCTCTTAGGGACTGTTCTCTAGGTGAACAGCAGGCCCTGTGCAATGCCTAAGGAGGTCAGAAGGGGGCGTTGGAGTCCCTGAAGCTCCTGGAACTGGAGTTACAGACAGTTGTTAGCTGCCATGTGGGTGCTGGGAATAGAACTCAGGTCTCTAAGAGCAGCCACTGCTCTTAACTACTGTGCCATCTCTCCAGTCACCTATTATTTTTATTTTAGGTGTATGAGTGTATTGCTTGCATGTAGGTAGGTGCACCCATGTCATGTAATGCCCGTGGAGGCCAGAAGAGGACATAAAGATTCCCTGAAACTGGAGTTACAGTTGGTTGTTAGCTGCCTTGTGGGTGCTGGGAATTAAACCAGGGTCCTCTGCAGGAGCAGCCAGTGCTCTTAACATCTGAGCCATCTCTCTAGCCCCTTCTTTCTTTCTCTTTAAAAAATATTTTTATTGCCAGGCATGGTGATGCACGCCTTTAATCCCAGCACTTGGGAGGCAGAGGCAGGCGGATCTCTGTGAGTTCAAGGCCAGCCTGGTCTACATAGTGAGTTCCAGGTCAGCTGGGGCTACAGGGAGACCCTGTCTCAAAAAGACCAAAAAAATTTTTTTTACTGCATTTATTTTGTATGATGGGGTCACACGTGTCATGGCATGCATGTGGAGATCAAAGGATAATTTGAGGGAGTCTGTTCTCTCCTTCTATTGTGTGGTTCTCAAAGATTGAACTCAAGTCATCAGGCTTAGCAGCAAGCATCTTTAACTGCTGAGCCATCTTAGTGGCCCCATGATTGGCTTTTCATTTGTTAAAATTGGGGTGACAGAATTCAGAGCTGAGAGAAAAAACCTCGTAATAGAAAACTGTCACCCCCTGAACTCTCTGTGATAGGTCTCCAGTCTATTCCTTACTACATAGAGGGTAATGACTCTGACATGGCAGGCAGGCAGGTTGGTTTTGAGCCTCCCAGCCCTCCTGCTGTGTGACCCTGCATGAGCCTCTTCCCTTCTTAGAGCTTTGATTTCCTTATTTGTAAAAATAAGAACAAGTCTGGATACCTTGCGAGGTTGTTGTGAAGAATAAATAAGAAAAGAAATTTGAAAGTGCTGCGTCTGTTTTCTCTCAGTCTTAGGGACCTTGTCCTTCCCTGTCTTTGCCCCTTTCCTGCCTGTCTTTCAACATTACTCAGAGCAGCATGTGGCATCAAGGCGATCAGGACTAGGCACTCTGAGGCCTGTGCTTATATAACCTCAAACAGATCTCCTTCCCTCTCCAGTCCTCTGTGTTCTTAGCTGAGTTGGGAGAGACCTGGACTATGCAATTCTCAGGAGCGCTTCTAGCTCTGACTTCCCATTGGCGTGCTGAAAATCTTCACATCTTCCTGAAAAGCAGGAAGGCGGAAGCCAGTGACCCATGGTTTAGTTCTTTCAAAAATATCTGTCTAGGGGCTGGAAAGATGTCTTAGCAGTTAAGAACATTTGCTGCTCTTCTGGTGAACCTGAATTCAGTTCCCAGCACCCATATCAGGTAGCTCACAACTGCCTGTAACTCCAGCTCCAGGGGATGTGAAACCCTCTCTGGCCTCTGCTGGCACCCATACATACACAGCAGGTGTTCAGACAGATGCACACACACATACATGTAAATAAAAATAAAAATAAAACTTGAAAAAATAGTTTTAAAAAATCTACCTGTCCAAGTTACGTATGGTGGCTCACATTTGTAATCCTAGATCTTGGGAGGCTGAGGCAAGAGAATTGCCATGAGTTTGAAGCAAGTCTGGGCTACATAGTGAGTTCCAGGCAAGCCTAGGCTACTATGTGAAGAAAAAAAAAACAAAACAATCTTGCCCCCAGTTGGCACATAGTAGGCAGTCATTAAATCCTTTTTGAAGGAACTGATAAAGGACTTTTACTATGAAGAAGGCCTGACCAACTTCATTGTTCCTTACCTGTGTGTTGTACCTGTGCCTTCTACATCCATTTTATTTTTTTGTCCCAAAATATTGCAGCCAGGTGGGTAGTACACACCTTTAATCCCAGTACTTCGCAGGCAGAGGCAGGCGGATCTCTGTGAGTTCAAGGCCAGCCTGGTCTACATAGTGAGTTCCAGGCCAGCTGGGGCTACATAGTGATACTATGTCTCAAAACAATAGATTATTCCAACACCAGTGGCATTAGTGTAAACTTCAGTAAGATGGCAAAAGCTGTTCCATAGTCCTGCCTCACTGTACACTGAGCTCGGTGTTTGTTCACATTCACACACAGTCTTTTTTGCTTGTAGTCATTTCTTTTAAATAGTTTTTAAATTTTTTATCTTTTTAAGAAGTTGAAAAGAAAGTCGGGCATGGTGGTGCACACCTTTAATCCCAGCACTCGGGAGGCAGAGGCAGGCGGATCTCTGTGAGTTCAAGGCCAGCCTGGTCTACATAGTGAGTTCCAGGTCAGCTGGGGCTACAGGGAGACCCTGTCTCAAAAAGACACACAAAAAAAAAGTTGGAAAGAATAACAGATTATTTTGAACGAGTGAGGGTGATCAGCTGTAAAGTGTCTGTCTTGTCTGAAGCTGCTGGTTCCCAGTCTTTCTCCCTAGAAGCCTCTGCTGTTGCCAGTTCTCTGTTTATTCTGCATTCTTTCTCTTGTAACATTCTATGTGTTCACTTACCCCATGTTGGAAACTGTTCCGACAAAGTGCTACATAAAGTTCCTCTGTGAGGCTTCCGATGATAGTGTCAGCACTGTATTGTGTCTATCCCCCATGTTTGCACATATTGTGTTCACCTCCCCACCCCCATGTTTACTCCGTCCTGCTGCTTAGCAATCGTTGTTTAGAAGATTAATAAGAGATGTCCCTTGTTCTGCTGGGGCTGAACAGAAATGACTTTGGTCCCAGTGAACTATAGGTTAAAGGGCAATCTATGTATCTGGATGCAAGGCAGAGAAGTGAAAGAGGAAGAAGGGAAAGGGGATTTGTTTTCTGATAATTGAGAATTGATTTTCCATTCAGCCTGTGATTCAGTCTAGCCCTACCACTTACTGGCTGGATGACATGGGACAATTTACTCAGTGTCCCTACATCTCAGTTTATGTGTCTGTAAGATGGGTGATGTTAATCAGATATGTC